CTGAACACTTTATGACAAGACCTTTCTTGCAATGCTTGTTACTCACTTACCATTTGTTCTAGGGCACCCTGGTGCCTCAGTGAGCTTCTTGTCCACAGCTGGCCTAACCAGGGATCTCTGGACAATGGTAAGCACATTTTGATATTGGCAGGAATGGACCAAGGCTTGGGGCTTCATCCTCTCAACTTAGAGCATCCAAACAAATTTCAGACATATATATCAACATTACCCCGTGTGCAAGGCCATGTGAAGACGGACTGGTTGCTGGGAGTGAGGCACAGCATTGCAGATCAGCAGATATCAGACTGCAACAGATTGTACTTCCCCCAAACAGCCACAGCAACATATCCAGTCCCATGTATATTTAAAACTTTATCACTCCTCAATCAAGAAGTGAAGTTGGCTTCCTCTTCTCTTGAATTGGGCATGAATTTGTAACTGCATCGATAAACAGAATGTAGTGGGAAGTAATGCTCCATGACTTTTAGGTTAGGCCATAAAAGAGGACACCACTTGGCCCTTTATCTTTTTATCTTGGGCTGCTCACCCTAGACGCTCAGTCACCATGTTGTGTGGCAGCCCAGGCCACATGTAGGTGTTCCAGTCAACAGCCTCAGCTAGGGTCCCAGCCAACAGCTGACATCAACTGCCAAACATGAGAGAAAAATAGCATTCAGTGTCCTCCAGCCCCAATCTTTGAGTGTCCTAGCTGAGATCCCAGACATTGCGGAGAAGAGAAAAAGCCTCCCACTTTGTCCTGTTTGAATTTGTGAACCCACAGAATTTGTGAATATAATAAGTAACGGTTTTATGCCACTAAGTTTTGGGGAAATTTTTACTAAGTCCCAGTACCTAGAACACAGAACTCACAGTGAAGTGGAGAACAAGTTACAAACTCTATGGCAAGGGACACATGTCAAAGAGAAGGTGATACAGAGCATGGATTTTCTTTTCTTTTCTTTTTTCTTTTTTTCTTATTTTGAGATGGAGTTTGGTTCTTGTTGCCCATACTGGATTGCAATGGTGCAATCTTGACTCACCGGAACCTCTGCTTCCTGGATTCAAGCAATTCTCCTGCCACAGCCTTCCAAGTAGCTGGGATTACAGGCATGTGCCACCATGCACAGATAATTTTATATTTTTAATAGAGACAGAGTTTCTCCATGTTGGTCAGGCTGGTCTCGAACTCCTCACCTCAGGTGATCTGCCCACCTCAGTTTCCCAAAGTGCTGGGATTACAGGCGTGAGCCACCACGCCCGGCCATAGAGCATACATTTTCAACAGGATAATGTCACCTTCCATAAGGGAGAAAAATTTGTTCTTAGGGGATTAAAAAAAATCTTTTAAAAAATAAAGCACAGATATACATAGAGGTGGGAGAATATGTTTCTAATTAATAGTCTGTTGTATTTAGAGAGCTAGAAGCCATGGGGTTAGAAGATCAGACTGAAAACACTAACCAGTGGAAGAGTGCGGAATACTTTGAGTTCAAGTAGAAAGAGTTCATTCCTTCATTTTTTTCATTTAAAGAAAATAATATACACATAGAACAGCAGGTGTGTTAATATAAAAATTAAAATTAAAAAGTAAGCACATTGATTAAGCACCTCCTATGTGTCAGGACTGTTGGATAAAAAAGTGAGTGTGACAATCAGATTTAATGTGTCACATAACAAAATACAATCAGGTCATTTCAGCGCAATTCACATTCCCAGTGTAGAAGAGGAATATGGAAGGAAGGCTTCTCATAGGAGGTGACATTTGAGCTGGGCTTTAATGTATGGGGATGCAATAGTTGGTGGAAGTGAGAGAGGGACTTCCAGGCACAGGAGATATTTCAGTGTGCGGCATGTGCAGATCACAGCAAGCAGTGTGCTGTCTGTGTGGGGAGCCTGCTGGAGATGGAACTGGAAAGGCTGGAAGGACCTGGGGGCATCAGCCTCTTCACTGAGTGTCTCCCTCCCAGACTCAGGAATGGGAACCCCAAGACCTACACATATCCTCATTGATCTACTCCATGGCCACTCAGCCTGGTGTCAGAAAGCAAAAATTACTAGGTGGTTAGCTAACAGAGGGAGCTCTGAACAAGCTCTGCAGAGTCACCCTGTTGGCCCAGGGTCTCTCATGGGCTGAGCACTGGGCACAGCCAGAGTAAAGGATGACAGTCAGAGCTGCCAGTGGCCACTATCCCTAGCTGCCTTGGTGCTCCCACAGTGTGACACAGTCCAGGACACCTGGTGATAATTGAGCTCTAGATCCAGGGCTGTCCCAGTGATGAGGAATTTCCACAGACTACTGTGGGGCCATATGCAACATGTTCACCTCTGCGTTTAGAATTAGAAAACACAAGTGCATGTTCCGGCACTGCCATTTAATCTGTATGTGACTTTGGGTGGGTCATGTGCTGCCTCTGGACTTTCACAATTCAAATGAGGAAAATCCCATTCACCCATGATGTGTCATTGACTAAGAGGAGGTAGATGATGGTTCGTGGAGTCTCAACTGCTTGGCAACTTTCTACTCAGTATAGCCCATGCCATATTAGCCCATACTCTAATATGCCTTAGGTGATGCTGTAGCCGCTGATCTGTGAACCACACTTTGAGCAAGCAGGACTCTAGAGCACCACTGAGGGAAGGAGTCATTACCAGGACCAAAGAGGAAGCAGGGATCACTGCCCTGGCTCTCCATACTGCCCTGGGTCTCTGCAGCAGGCAGAGGCAGCTGGTCTCCTTCCCTTTCCATGATGGAGGCCCAGAAGTCAGGCCTCCAAGAATCCCTTGTCTCTTCAGCCCTCCAAGAAGCCCTTGTCAAGAAAAAGATAAGGGAAACTCTTAAGTTTCCCCTTCCTGGTTTGTCCCTTTCATACTCCAGCCAGGATGCCTAGGAGGAAGAATAGAGCAGTGGCTCTGGGCTCAGAGGCTCAGGTATTCCGCAGTGAGTTATCCTAAAAGCACAGAGACTCCGTGTGTCATGCCTGTCACATTAACTTGAAAAATGGCTCTTCCAATATGAATACAGATGTTTCTAACTAATAATGTTTTCCAAATAAAATAATACCAAGGTACACCTCCAGAATCCCTCAGCCTCACCACCTGAGACCCTGATGCTGGCAGGCGTATAAACCGCACATGGAGGCCAAGTCGCAATCCCTCATATATTCCTTCCAGAGACAAGTGTAGAGCACTTACTATGTGCCAAGCACTGTGTTGGGGGCAGGGCAGGCCAAGGTATGGTTTTTGGTTTCAGTAGTTTGCTGGCTAGCAGAAAAGACAGACACAGAGACAGATCATTACAATATGCTCACAGTGATCGTGAGGTTCTTGCAAAGTGCCATGGGGGCCCCAAAGGAGAGCTTGAAACCAGGGGTCAAGAAGGTGTCAGGAAGTGGTGATATTGGGTGGCTTTTGAAAGATAACCGGGAATTTCCCAAACAGAGAAGGGGACAGATTTCTTCCAGGATAAAGGAGAAGTAAAAGCCCCAGGGTGGTGCACAGGCTGGGGGTGTGAGAGAAGCAGAGAGCATTGAAGGTGTGTGTGGGTATAGTGGAAAATGGCGCTGGTGGGTCTGTTGAGGTTTGGCTGACAGGGGAGGAAGTTGGGACTTTATCTAGACAGCAGCAGAAAGCCAGAAGGTTTTAGAGAAGGATGAGAGAAGGGGGACAGGTAGACTAGCTCAGAGGGAGGACCCCTGAGGTCATCCTGTATGTGACCAACTTCTGAGAGAAGGCTTCAGGCACCCCCCCTTCACTTTGCTCAGTGGTGACACCAGCCAACCTCCCTGCTAACTTAGGCATTTTCTGGTCAGAGGAGGCAGTGGGCATTTGCACCCTCCGTGTGACATCCACTCCTGGATGTTTTACACCTGCCATTACTTTTCATCCCCCCAGTACCCTGACAGATAAGAATTATTATCCCGTTTTATAAAGCAGAGAACTCTGGCTCAGAGGTATTATTTGGGGAAGGTCATGCAACTGGCAGGTGACAGAGCAAGGCTGGTGTGACTCCAAAGGCCCTGTTCTTTCCAATGTCCTGTATTTACCTGGGCTTGTAAAAAGCCACGGGGCAAGAGGGAGGTCCTGGAATGCTGGATGTTCAGAACTTACAGGAGCCTGCGTCTAACTTGCAATGTGACTGGAATAAAATCAGTTCCACAAATTCTTAAGATTTTTTTTTTCCAGAGGCATTTTTTAATAGAAAATTTCAGAAGTGGCTGGGCCTCTCCTCTCTCTCCAACGCTTTTGTTTCACTCTCTAGGTGTTGGTTACTAATCTCTAAAATCACAGGACTGGCTTGGCTGGTTTGGCAAGTCTCCCTTAAGGGCCCTGCTCACTTCAGCCCACTACCCACCCTGTGTCGCCACTCAGACTCTGAGCACAATGAAACAGCTTTGGCAACATTTTAGAAGCTGATATCACCAGGAGCCGAGTTTCACTCTGGATGCAGCTCATTGCTCGACAAAAAGATGGGCTCTTTCTTCTCCGAGGCAGAAGCTACTGAGTAATCGGCCAACTACTGCCAACCACAGCGGAGGGAAAGGTTCCGTAAGTGCAGCATTTTCCACTCTTGGCTGCTAGGCTTGCAGTAGGTGGTGTCAGATGAGAGGCTGGCCCTTGAGAGTCATTCATACTCCAAAAGGCTCTGAACTCTTTCTAAGCTGTTTCACTCTCATGAAGAAGTCAGGCAAAGAGGCAATGCCATGCTTTCTCATCTTCTCTTGACAAAGGTCCACCTTGCATCCTGTTCCTCCCTTCTAAATCCACAAGCATTCCTGCGTCAGCAGGGTGTGCGCTGCAATGAAAAGAGCAGGCAAGTCTTTCCAGGTTAAGGGGTTCCAAGGCTTTCGGAGACCTACCTTTGGGCCAGGCAGAAGCAATGGCAGAGGGCAGGAGAGCTCTGCAGGCTCCAGCAGCAAGCGGGTGGCACGATCAGGGCTGGCTGGGGCGCCATGGGGGGGTGGGTACAGTTTGCAGGGCACAGATAAGGCCATACACAGAAGTCATAAAACAAAATTTATCTTTAATTTGTAAGTGTCAACAGCAGTACAAAAGATGGAGTGATGACAACTAGATTAGGGTAGAGAGGACAGTCTTGAGGTAAATGAGCATAAATAGGCAGTTCTTATAGACACTCCCCTAAGGGGCCTGAGCCCCATCACGGCATATACATTATCACCCAAAGATGGCATGTTGAACATATCAGGAAAGCACCTTGTGCAAAAAGGAAAAAAAAAAAGTAGCTAAGGTGCCAACATACACCAGGATAGATAAAGACAGTGTGTCTTTCAATTTTGTCTTTTCCCTTAATTATGAGGCAGAGGAGGGGAAGACTTTGAAAAGTACCACTGAAAGATTATTCAATGTTGAGCTTTATCTCACGTCAATACTGCACAACAAAATCCAAGAAGTTTGTGTAGCAACAAAGCTAAGAACAATAATTCATTCCTGTAAATTTGAAGAGATTTTTTTTTTATTTTTCCCATTTCTTTAATCCTTTGCAAACTTTTAATTATTATTATCAAGAGGAGAGTGCGAGAAAGATGTGATGGCAACCCTTAAGGTCATTTAAAAACTTTACACTGGACTGTACAAGATTTTTTTTTTGATAAACTATTTACATTTTCAGACTTTCAAACATATTCAAAGCAGCAATAGACACTAGTTTTTATGGTTTTTTGTTTTTTTTTTTTTCTCTAATTGCCCAAATAGTTACCAGCCATGGGCCAAGTAGGTACCTGCATTATACATAGAATTTCTACAAAGAAAATCTGCAGTTAAAATTTGCTCCAGGGTGTATTAAATGCCCTTAGCAATTCAAGGGCCACACCCAGTGTTGCTATAGGAACCAAAGCACAGTACCTTGACAACAGAGTTGCAGTTGTCCCAACAGCCCTACACAAACTTTACACTTTGAAACAGCAGCCAGCATGTCAGTCCAGCATGTCAGTGAATTGTGCTGATTAAATTAACATAGAATACAATCTCACAATATACATCACAAACAAATTACAACGTCGGGGGGAAAATAAAAGAGTTACAGTAAGATAAGTTATGTAGTAACAGCTTATAAGCTTGTCTAAGGTAATAAAAATTTTACATGGCAAATACAATAATGAATGAACATAAATGCTAAGCATTCTAATTTGCTACAAGCTGGAGGAGGGTACAATAAAGACTGCACTTTCAAAAAAGCAACAACACATATGACAAAGGAAGACAAAGGGAGAATGCACATGAGCAGACCTGCAATGTGCAGCATACGAAACAGTTCAATATTTGCACATTCCCCATACTCCAAGAGCACCAGCACTGAGGCCTCACTTTATGCTTGTGGTTCTTCAGGAATCAGAAACTACTGAGCAAGATATGTCACTGAGTTGTCTTCAAGCGTTCATATTGCCACGGACACTGATTAGAAGAGTATCTGCATTAAGCATTACCTTTCTGCCCCCACCCCATCCACCCTTACCTCTGCCCCAAAGGTACCAGCATTCCAAATACTTGTTCATGAGCTTTTGGAAAGCAATCTGTCCCCAAAAGAAAAGATGGAATGGGGATGAAAAGGAAATGTGTTTGCATATCAATAGTTTCAGTGATATTAGTGCAGGGGCACGCTCAATAGGATATGGCATCAGAAACAGAACATCATTGGCAAGAATAACAGACAGAAGTTGTTTATTAGGGAAGAAAACATGTCAGGGAGCAGATGACTTAAGGAAATGATGCAAGTGCTTTTGTGAAAGGACAAATGAGGTCATACAATATTATTATACTTTGAGAAGTGAGCTTAAGTGCCAACTCAATCCTTAGACAAACGTGTACAAAATCAGGCAGGGCTACAGCAACCATTTTGGTCATTTTCTCATTAAAAGGAAGACCCAGTAATAATTTCAATACATTCCTCTAGCTGCGTTTCTTAGCAGTTGTTGGCACTTGGTAGGGGACTTCTCGATGATCTAAAATTACTAAGTGATTCTTTTTTCTCTCCCTAATGAGTTGGTAGAGGTCAATTCTTTGCAAAATGAGTAAATTGAGAGAAGCAGCCTCGGCTGTGCTGTTCAAGTGACCAGGCTGCCTTCCTACTGAGGGTAAATGGGCTTCCCAGAAACAATCCCTGCTTTCAGCTAGCGCCTGCGTTCCCGGCTCAGGAGGGTGTGCTCCAGAGAAGCAGCCTGGCTTCAGAAGGAAAAGAAAGCAGCCTTTAATTTCAGCCCTAGAGTGATCACACCCTTTTCAAACACCCTCAGGCTCCCGTGGGGCTAAATGTTCAGGGGAGGCCAGAATTCGACAAGCTCAATAGCACTGGGAGCCCACACCTGAATTTAGAAGTTGGCCTGGGCATTGGTGTCAGGACCTTGGCAAATCAAATCAGGCCTGAGGACAAGGCTGGAGAGTATCAAATACCTAATGAAGCAAACTGATGTGCTCCTAAAAGACTGAGTTGGATAGGTGTGAAAACAACAAAGCTTCCGTACCTTCCTGGAAAAGACGCTGTTTGATATCTGCCAGTGAAATAGAAAAGTTGTCAGCCTGGCGGCTCACGTCCGCAAAGCGACCTTTTCTCTCTCTCTCTCTTCCTTCCTTTTTTTCCTTCCTTCCTTCTTTTCTCCTTTCCCTTCCATCCCATACCGCCCTTTACTTTTTAAGGAGAGGATTGTCTGCCAGTGTTCCAATTCTAAGTAACAAGGAGAACCCTGATCCTGTGTGTTCTTTAACAAAATGGAAATACTTTTTATCTTTGATTTGAAGATACTATGGAATAGGAAGCACCGCAAAAACAAGGTTGCTTAACATTATTGACACCAAAATGTCATGGTGGAACTTTTATTAATGGCCAATCTCAGAGGTGGATTTTTGCCTTTGTAATGGCATTCATGCTTCTTGCTATTACATGGTCACAGAACTACCTTAGAAGATTTATGTGGACTCACATAGCAAACGGTCTCCCAGCTGTAGTGGAAATTTAGTATGTCCAATCATCAGCTTTCTGTAAGAAACTGGGAAATGTCTGAATCTGTGGACAGTGGGTTCTGACCTGCAATGAGAACCCTGGTGAAGCCTGTCCCAGCTGCAGGCCGAACACTGCTCTCTCACTGTAGCTGATAACTCACTACTGCTGTGAGGCACAGTGACTCATCAACTTTCAGTTTGGACCAATATCTATGGATAGAGAACAAAAAGGAAATACATAACTTAGACCTCACTAAGAATTCATGAACCAAAAATAAATTCTATTGCTATGTTATATTTACACAATTAGAAAAATCTAAAATGAGATGGTAAAGTCATAAAAACTTTGTTTAAGCCCCACTGAAAATAAAATGAAGTGATCCCTATGATTGTCATTCTTAATTTCCATGGATATTTAGAGCCAAACTTGGCTAATAAATAAACTGCTTATACACAAAATTTAGATTCAAATACAGCATTACTCTTTGATCCAATGAAAGAGATGTTTACAATCAGATCATTCCTGAATAGCCTTTCATTTTTAAGAACATGGCTAAAAGTAACTGAACCCCAGTACTGAGGCAGAGCTGGAGCTAAAACAAAGTGTTCATACACACATGTATTTTGCATAAATAAATGAAATAACAAGACATAAAAATGACTCAAATCCGGCAACTGTGAGGCAAGCCCACACGAGTCGAAACAGATGACTTTTGTTCATGTAGTTTTCGTACAACAGTTTCACATTAGTCAGAAGTGATAAAAAATACCATTTATATCCAGTGCTTATAACACTTACGAAACAACATCTGTGAGTGTGTGTGTTTTTTTTTTGTTTTTTTTTGTTTTTGTTTTTTTTTCACTTACTACAAGCAAAATCAAGTTTCAGTCCTAAAGAACAGTCCTTTGTTCTCCACCAGCCCAGAATATTATTTTGGCATGGTCATAAAAACAAACAAAATTAACCTACTATGCTAAATGTTTGCCTTTGTGCAAAATTAATTACATACAATACAATACTAGCCATACAACACTCTACCAATGCAACAAAATAAGAGAAGAGAGAGAAAGCACAAGCAAAAGCCAAAGAAAAAGAGAAAAAAAACGAGAGTGAACTGAGGAGGAGAGGTATATAAATCAAAGAAATCAGTAAGACAATAATAAATACTCATTTTTTTTTTTTAGGAAAAAAGACCTCCTCCTCATTTGAAATAAATGTACAAAAACAAATTTCTAATCCCCCACCAATATGAAGAACAAAACATTCCTATCAGTACCTTAATCAGCTTATAGAGAGCACTTCCAGCTAATGGCATAGCTGGTAATTTCTTGGCTAGACCTGTTTATTGCTATTAGGCCTTGAGCACTGTTAAATAAATACAAAGGTACACTATTTTCTTCCAAGTGACAAAACGGCTCAAGAAATCTGATGGGGCCATTCCTATGTCCTGGTGATCAGATTCTGGGTTGTCCCATGAGATGAACTTTCCCATTCACTGACATTCTCCCACTAAACCTCTCTGGGTGAAGACCCCCAATAGGCAACCTGTCCTGGTTTCAGGAAGGTCAAAATGGCATGGCAGAGCTCCCTGTAGTTAGGAGATGGGGAATAAAACCTCACTGCTTCCCATCCCAGCAGCATGTCTCCTAAGAAATCCTTGTGTGACAAATGCAGTTCATCTTGTTCATACGTAGGTATGTCCCCATGTGGCCACAGATAAGAGTCAGCCAGAGGAACCTATCTGCTGCCCCCAGAGCTATCTGTTCCCCAGAGTTAACAGTAGGAACATCCTATATGGGGAATGTATTACCCCTCTCCCCCTCTCCTATGGTTTCTTTCATTCTCTAGATGTATCATGACTATTTGCCACTATCTTTGCTCTCAGGCTGTCACATGGCTTCTCGCATCCTGGAGATTTTGCAATGAACTCCCTGGATGTGCCAGCTGGGACAAGGCAACTCAGTGTAAAGGTGCCAGCCCATGACAGCTTCACTGAGACTCCTGCATGGCCCACGAGCCTGGGGCTTCAGGTTTGGCCGCAGGACTCTCCTGCCTGGCAGTCACCACTGTTGACCCTTGCTGTGAATAGAATTCAGGGGGAAATGTCGCAGATGCAGACCCTACCACTCGTGAACTGAATTAGGGAAAAATTCTGGCAAAAGACTTGAGGTCACAGTGAACCTCAGGGGCATGCCTGTTTAAGACTATACACCTCTATCCCAATACACAGCCCTGCAGCCAGATATATACTCATGATTAAAAACAATAATAGGTTTTTTAATAGTATCTTGGTTTCAGAAATGCTTCCAGGTGTTCTGGGGGCATAAAATCACTATGTACATAGAGGGAGGAGGTGAAAAGGACTAAAAAATTCCTTGGGGAAGGAGGGTGAAAAACAAGAATTATTAAATTAATGCCACCAACAATTTTTTAAAAAAATAAATAGTAAGTGGACCCTTGACATTCTGGAATGAATAAATTATTTAAGAGAAGATGTGTTAAGACTGAATGTCAGGGTTAAAGGCAAAGGGATAATGGATGTAGTGAGAGGTGGTCTCAGGCAGAGAAGACCACCCTGTCGATATCTGGTGTGGTGATCGCTCTGGTGTGTGTACGTCATACCACATCATGCACTGATGGCACATCAACAGGCAAACACAATTGGGTCCATGCACTGTGGCAACCTTGTTCATTCCTTACAATATCTTGTCTCCAGATTCCTGAGCACTTTACCATTTTCTGGAAAAAAAAAGTTGTTTTTCTCTTTTATTTTAAGATGCCAAAGATTGTCTAAGACTTTGCAGTGTCTCTTTTAAGACTTTCAAAATATTAAGATTCAAAAGTTAAGAAAAAGTTTGGCACATTCGAAGTTTAACTCTACACATGGAAAACTGGAATTCTGAGGCCTTTTGAATATGCTCTACATGCAGCTGCACACGCCGTGGACTTGTTCTGTTTCACAATATGAAATCCTCAGTTGTTTTCTAAGATAATTCAGAATAAAAACACATTCACAACCTGTAGGCCGGCACAGCATACCTGAGTGAGAATGTTTAACCCCATCTAAAACAGTAACTTAAACCTTTATCAACATCCAAAAGAAAAAAAAAAGTAAGACAAAAATATAAGACTTGTAAGACATCTACGGGTTGAGATAAGTTTTCAAGTCCTGGTGTCTCATATTTAATATGTCTTCACCTAAATTAAAAAAACAACAACAACAACAATAACAATAACGACAAAAAACTCAAGTTCATGAAAAATCAGGGAAAACTTAATCTGTCTCACACTTTACGAAACAATTAAGACCATTCTGCTGATGTAATTGTGGAGCCACAAATGCATGCGGGCTCTTTAAGAACTTTTTGTTGGGGTAGGGGGTGAAATGTCAGAGTATTTTAATTCAGCAAACAAAAACTCCTCAGTTGGCACTGACAGCCTCCGGGGCTTCATTTTCACTGCTATAGTCTGATTTGGGGTCATCTTCATAGTCATCATACATTTCCATTTCATCCTCTCCATTAATCATTTCATTTCCAGCTAGGCTTCCGGCATCTGTCTTCATACCATAAGTGCTCTGGATGACCGGGAGGCTGGGCTCGGGGCTGGCCGAGGTGCTAGAGCAGTCAGATGTCATCTGAGGTGATGGTGTGGTAGTTGCCATCGTGATAGCACCAGGATACACCACACCTGTTCCTGTGGTGATTGGAATCTGAGGCTGTTGCCTATATAGATTCAAAAAAAACAAAATAAGACAAGGGAGAAATATCTATTTATGTGCTCTGTACAGCATTGGAATACACCCCTTACACTTTCCAAAGGGAGCCCTAAATAAATGTTAAATAACATTCTAAGCAAATACAATGTGACAAAGTTTCCCTAGGGGAGTCCTGCAAATCTCCCTGATGGCTAGGGAGTTAAACAAGATAACAGAGCAATTTACTGATGATTTTTGCAACATAAAGGCAGGGTTCTTTTAACTTGGTAAATATGGCAAAGCTTGGATAACACCTAGCATTAGGAACAAATGATGTAGTGAATTCTGCAAAGTTACATGTAAGATAATTTTTGAAGATCTCCCAGCACATTTTGAAAATCAAACTAGTGGCATGAAACACACTATAACAACACTATTAAGCAAGTTTGTGCCTTCACCTTGGTTTGAGAACTGTATAAATCATGATGACAAGGGACCTAGTATGTCCCAAAGAGTGAGATTTAGCAAAGCATGTATTTGTTATTCATGTAAATATCTACATATTTTCATGGCTGAACTTGTTAGGAAGAATCCCTGTGGAAGCATCGTCTTGGATGTCATTACTGCTGAGGCCCTGGGCTGGAACTGGGGCTGGGATTAAGAGAGCCAGGAGTAAAGAGCAACTCAATAGAGTAGAGTTGCTGAGCAGACACCAGACACGGGGCTTCACCCTAGATCCCAGAGGGTGCCAAGGTCTGGACACCAGTTCATTCCTCTATAATATTACCGTAGTTTAAATAAACTTAACAGACCCGTTGCGAAAGTCACTTTCTTCCTCTGCAGGGAGACATGACTACTGTCTCTCAACTTCATTTGAGGCATTATAACTGGCACACAGGAAAAAAAGATCTACCTAACCCAGAGGCTATAACTAAAATAGTATAAAATATTTGTTTTAAAATGTCATTGTAACTATCCTTTCAGAGCCTCAGTTTCCACATGTTTATCAAAGCCAGGGTCAGGGAAGTTCTTGAAGGTCCTTCCACTTTTTGTACTCAAGGCTTCAGGTCAACTATCACTTGGACAATTCTTACTGACCCTACACATTATCACTGAAAGTTTCTGTCCCTCTCACTCAAACAGGAAAATACCCGGAATCCATGAAGAAGTAGCTTAGTTAACTGCCATTCTTTGACATGTCCAGAAGGAACATAATTTTCTCACAAAGACCTGCATGCCCTCCAGCCTGGCAGAGGGAGAAGGGATGGAGGTGGTTTAGAAACACTGTGTGAGATACCTGTTCACGCTGTCTTTAGCAACCTCTTTCAATCACCACAAGGCATGTCATATCCCTAACATAACATATAAAATATTATCAGATATATCACCTTACCCAACTAACATTATGACCCCATAAGTTATTTTTTCCATTTCCAGATGAAGAAAATCAGATGTTGCTTCAAGCCCTGCATTCAATAACCAGCAGAGCCAGAATGTGAATCTAAGCTAACAGCTGACTTGAATACCATCACTCTTTCCTTTATAGACATTCAATCTACAGATACACTAAGTTCACTGTATATCATAAAAATGCCTGACTCCTATAGAGCCTGTCAGCACCTAGTTGACGCTAAGCACCTGACATTGATGCAGCTTTTATGATTCTCATGGTGAGTTTTTTGGTTGCCCGAAGAAAGCAGATAATAGCAGAATCTAAATCTATGTATAGAAACATCATATAAAATATTAGTTTACCTCTTACTGAATCAAAATTTAAAACAGTATACTTCTAGCTTCCTAAGTTTTGGGCAAATTAACACAAATTAAATTTTATGCTAACCTTCCCAAGGTATCGAATGCCTCATTAATTTTTTTTTTTTTTTTTTTTTTTTTTTTTGAGACAGTCTTGCTGTGTCACCCAGGCTGGAGTGCAGCGGTGTGATCTCTTCTCACTGTACCCTCCACCTCCTAGGTTCAAGCAATTCTCCTGTCTCAGCCTCCCAAATAGCTGGGACTACAGGCATATACCACCACTCCTGGCTAATTTTTTGTATTTTTAGTAGAGACGGGTTTCACCATATTGGTCAGGCTTGTCTCGAACTCCTGACCTCAGGTGATCCACCTATCTCGGCGTCCCAAAGTGCTGGGATTACAGGCATGAGCCAGTGCACCTGACTGCCTCATTAACTTTTTTACCGAATTTGGATAACTGCAATAAAATATTTTTGCCTTAATACACTATGAGTGTAGAATGCAAGTTTTTACTGCAATGTTAACCCATTTTACAGATTTCTCATACTGGCAAGCTGATCTATAATACAAACTCTGCATAAAAACAAACTATCAAATGATACATTTTCTTTTCACAAAGAATAGATGGTAAATTTTTGCAGTATTTTAATCAGAATACCTACATATATAGATCTATTAAATAAATTTAAATTGAGCTCCTATTATGTGCTGGGAACTATATTTAGATGTTTTTACATTATCTTCTTGAATCCTCATAATAAGTCTGAGAGGTAGGTAACATTTTCCCTCTTTTACACATGAAGTGACCAATTAAGGTTCAGAAAATTCAAGTTGTTTGTTCAAGGACACGCAAGTACCATAATCAGAAGCTGAACTTTCCCTGTGTCACAAATTCTCTACTACATATCACGATCAGGGTGAGAAAGGCAAGCTTACACTATCAGAAAAATACTTAGCAATTTAAATCAGAATCAAAATCTTCTACACTGGGCTCCACATAGTTCAGAGTATTTGGACTTTAAGCTGGTAATGGAATGCTAAAAATAAATAAGCAAATAAAACATCTGTCCAATTTACTTTCTAGAGTGAGAGTGAGACGCATGATATTCAAAAGCCTAGTCCTGGTTGGTGGAGAGACAGATATCGATCGTTGTTCTAAGCCCTCAGACAGTGCTAAAGACCAGTGAGGGTTGAAACCCAGGGGTTACTCCCCACCTTGAGGAAATGAAGGGAGTCCAGCTCTGCTAATGGTCTCACATTCACATACAACTGTTCAAGGTTGTACATAAATGCTAGAGTGAGAACTTATCTCTGTGAGAGATAATTTCTGTCTCACCAACCCTTCTGGGAAGAAGGTTATGTGGTATGGTACAAAGAGCTCAGGTTCTGGAGTCAGACTAGCTTGAGTTCAAATCCCACCTGCCCCAGTTACTGGCCGTGTGATCTTGGGCAGGCTAATTCTTATCACCAGCATTGCCCATCCTTGTCTTTAAATTAGAACAATCACACTGACAGGACTATGAAGGAGATTAAGTAAAAATATATGCAAAGCATTACATTATAGAGTTGACAATCCAATGTTAATTCCCTCTCCTTTCCTCCCTTGGGAAGCTGGTGCAAACCTCACAGAGCGTAAGCATGTCCTAGGTCTTGCCGGGGAGTGCACCAAGGAAATGACAAGGTAATGGTCTGGACTCTCTGTGAGTGCCGGCCCACAGGAGCCATTTGGAATCGGCAGTTAATGACACGTGGTAAAACAATACTCTGGTTCACAAGCCTGGCCAAGAGAGGACTTTCTCTTTACTGTTTAACTGTAAAGAAGGGCATCTGAGATGGGAAAATGTTGACATCTTCTAAGAAATGTTTAAAAAGGAAAAAGTCCCCAAAGAATAACATTTGGTTCTGCATAAACCTTTTTCTAATCATAACTCCCTCCTTTCTCTACTGCCTGAAATATTTCCATTATACCCTCTGGAACCCAACTGTCATCCTTACTGACTCACCTTCTTGCTCTAACTGAAACTTGGCCCTCTCTCTAGTCCACAAGTTTCCCTAAGGCCCTCGTAAAAGTTGGCTATTTGCTTGCCACGCCCCTCCCATGAACGAGCCTGGAGGTGGGGTAGCTTGCTTCTTAGCTCCTCGTTGCCTCTTTCAATCTACTTTTTAATCCCTCAATTCTAAAAATCTCATCTTTGAATCTCATGTCACCAGACTATGTCACCTACTCATACCTCTATCTACCCCCTGCCTGATCACTCCCCCTCATGCCTTAAAGATGTTAGCTCCTGGCTCACTGTTGCCATCTTATCAACATTACTTCTGCCATGATTCTTGATGACTTTGCTGTCTCTGTAGATGTTCATTCCAACACCTGGCTATCTCAGTGTGACCTCCCCTCCACTGTGACAATCTGGCCTCTTCCCTATCTTAGTTACTCCTTCTCTTGTCATACAGTAGACCTTGTCATTTTCATCTGTCACTCCTCCCTAATCTCAATTTTAAATATCCCACTCTCTGAGCACCACATCTTACTTTTCTGGTTTTCTCTCTCTAGTATCCAGTTTATGATTTCGCCCCCTACCCCATCTGAGGACCTAGTTTTCTGATCCTTCAACCCACCTTCACTGCCCTCACATACACAGCAAAACTCAAACTTTAGTTCAGTCTAACTCTCTGCTTACTCTGTTTAGCCATACAGTAGAACTTAGCTGAAGAAAATACACTGCCACACTTACTAGTTTCTAAATTTACAATTCTGTACTTCAAATAGGCCTCTGGTGCTGTTCAGCAATCATGTTCAGCATTTTCCCAGCCCATTCCTTCTTTTAGTCTCCTAGACAATTACTTCTTCCTACCTTCTTAACTTTCCTCAAATATCCAACTTCTCCCCCTTTCTCACTCCAAGTTAATGGCCTGGCTTTCCATTTCATGGAGAAATTAGAAGTAATCAGAAGAAACTTTTCACAAACTCCCACCATCACATTGACCGGCCTCCCTGTATCTGTGCCCCATTCTCTGCCCGCCTTCCTATATTTTGAATCAGTCCATAATCTAACATAAGACTAACTCCTCTGCTTGTGCACTGAAACTATCTGCTCTTTTTTACTAAAGATATCTCTCCAGCAATTGTCTCTACCATCTGAATCATTAATTTTGTATAGCGTTCCCACCAAACATGCTATAATCACTCGTACCGTAAAAAACAAAATCAAAACCTCTCTCCTGGCTCATGTCCCCCTCCAGCTCTTGCTCCATTTCTTTGATGTCCTTTAAAGC